GTATATATATATATATATATATATATATATATATATATATATATATATATATATGTATATATATATATATATATATATATATATATATATATATATATATATATATATATATATATATATACATGTATATATATATATATATATATATATATATATATATATATATATATATATATATATATATATATGTATATGTATATATATATATATATATATATATATATATATATATATATACATATATATATATATATATATATATGTATATATATATCTGTGTGTGTGTGTCTGTGTGTGTGTGTGTGTATGTGTGTGTGTGTGTGTGTGTGTGTGTGTGTGTGTATGTGTGTGTGTGTGTGTGTGTGTGTGTGTGTGTGTGTGTGTGTGTGTGTGTGTGTGTGTGTGTGTGTGTGTGTAGGTATAAATATATCCATATATATACATAAATATATATGTATATATTTATGTATATGTATATATATATGTACACATATGTTTATATGTACATATTTGTATACATGTATATATATGCATACATAAATGTATACTTGTATACATATACATACATGTATATATATATATATATATATATATATATATATATATATATATATATATATATATATATATATATATATTTCTTTATATATGAATATATACACGCATATATGTATGTATATATGAATATATGTGTATATCTATATACATATGTTTATATGTACATATATATGCATATATGTCCTGGAGGCCCAACCGAAGTGCCCTTGCAGAGACGGGCCGCGAGTGGACCCCCGAGTCGCTGATCAACCCGGAGGAGCTGGGCGAGTTCTTCGAGGGCGACATCATGCTGCCGCTGCCGCCGCGGGCCAGGAACGGCATCCTGGACGAGAGCTACCGCTGGGACAACGGCGTCGTGCACTACGACTTCGCTGCGGCTTTCAGTACGTGTCCAAAGGCAGCGGACCCGAGAGGCGCTCCGAAGTGCAATGAAGTCGAGGAGTACTTTTATTTCCCAATATGAAACTGTTAGAAAATCGACTCAATATCTTTCCTTACATATTCTGAGTTTGCAACCAGTAGCTTTCCTGCCAAACCAAGTTAAAATAATCTTCACTGTACACAAAATATGTTCTTTTTACGAAAGCGCACCCTTTCTCCGCCAATAACGAATCCCACAATCCCTCAGCTGAGCAGCAGAAGACGACCGTGCGTCAGTCCATGGACGAGTACGAGAGCCTGACCGGTGGCTGCATCACCTTCGTCGAGAGGAGCAACGAGCACGACTACATCCACTTCACGCAGGAGTAAGCGCCGGCGAGGCCCCGGTCTTCTGGCCCGAAGCCTTTGCCTCCCGCGTCTCTTCCCGCATTTCATGACAATATCTAAATAGGAATCACATCTTGACATAAATAAATACATTATTTTATCCCCTCACACTGAGTTGGAAAATACATGTTTCTCCCGACGCAGCGACAACCAAGGCTGCTACAGCTACGTGGGCAAGCAGGGCGGAAGGCAAACCATCAACTACCCTCAGTGGTGCCTGGACAGGCATGGTTCTACCATGCACGAGATGTACCATGCGCTCGGGTTCTATCATGAGCAGTCACGCTTCGATAGAGACGACTACGTCACGATTATGTGGAACAACATCGAGTCTGGTGAGAGAGAGAGAGAGAGAGAGAGAGAGAGAGAGAGAGAGAGAGAGAGAGAGAGAGAGAGAGAGAGAGAGAGAGAGCAGAGAGAGAGAGAGAGAGAGAGAGAGAGAGAGAGAGAGAGAGAGAGAGAGAGAGAGAGAGAAAGAGAGAGAGAGAAAGAGAGAGAGAGAGAGAGAGAGAGAGAGAGAGAGAGAGAGAGAGAGAAGAGAGAGAGAGAGAGGAGAGAGAGAGAGAGAGAGAGAGAGAGAGAGAGAGAGTGAGAGAGAGAGAGAGAGAGAGAGAGAGAGAGAGAGAGAGAGAGAGAGAGAAAGAGAGAGAGAGAGAGAGAGAGAGAGAGAGAGAGAGAGAGAGAGAGAGAGAGCAGAGAGAGAGAGAAAAAAAGAAAGGATAGGATATTCAAAGAAATGGAACAAAATGCAGAGAATATTAATCTCCTAAACGTTGCCTCCTAACCCCCCCCCCCCGCCCTTCCCCCAGGCGCCGAACACAACTTTGACAAATACTCTAGCAACGTGATCGGAGGATTTGGCGAGCAGTATGACTACGGCTCTGTCATGCACTACTCCGCGTACGCCTTCTCTGCGAACGGGGAAAAGACCATTGTCACTCTGGTACTGTGCAGTTTTTTGAGTATCAATATATACCTTGAAAGTGTTTTTATTTCTTTTGTTCTGTCAGTGTCGTTTATCTATAGCGCTCGTGTATCATTATATACTTTATTAGCGTGTTTACGTTCTGTTCTACGATTCTAACAGTCATCTCAAAATCGCGTTTGAGTGCGTAGTTCGATGACGTCATTTTCACTTCCACTGCCTCTAATAACATCTATAATTTCCCACAGGATCCCGACGCGACCATTGGACAGCGCGTGGGTCTTAGCGAGGTCGACCTCAGGAAACTCATGAATATGTACAACTGCTGATCTGAACTGATCTTCGCGTGACTCATTTACTCTCTTAACATTCAATAAAAATTTTGGTTTTATCCCGTCTTTATATATGATTTTCTAAAATACCTTTTTTTTGTGAAATATCCTTTGTGGTTTCAGAGAACTTAGCTCAAATGCACTGCACTCTCTGTCTGTCTGTCTGTCTGTCTGTCCCTATTTGTCTGTCTCTGTCTGTCTGTCTGACTGTCTGCCTGTCTCTCTGTGTCTCTCTCTCACATACACATACATACATACATACATACATACATGTCTATATATATATATATATATATATATATATATATATATATATATATATATATATATATATGCATATATACATACACACACACACAACACACACACACACTTCTTCAGTCTACCGACATCTCTGATGAAATGTGGAGGCACTTTATTACTGCCCTGTGGTCACACGCGTGATGCAGGAAGTCATTGGTGAACAAAAGCAGCTTCCACGGCGTTATTCTCGAGTTATCGAGGAATGTGCCCATAGAGTCCCCGACGATAGAAAATATTTAACGAGCAATTCCATTCGGGACATTCTTTATGCAATTTGCTAGTAAAATATCATACAACAATATACAACAGTTATTAGTAATTAATATATCAGTTACATATTACACCTATAAGAGCATTGGTGCCGCCGTTTAGTTTAGCTTAGTCTTGTCCACCTACCGCAGTACCAAGTCGGCCGGCCGGTCCTCTTGGAGTTTACATGATACTTTGCAGTGAGGGCAATCCACAGATGTCGGCAAGACCCCATGGCCACGGAGAAATGCTTTTGCTCTTTCGTCATCATGTAAGAAAGGATTAATTTGAAAACAATCGGTGTCGCAACCATTGCACATCACACCCATCTTCCTCTTTTCTTGCCATGATGAAAGTGAAAAAAAAACGTAACATTCGAAACCTTTGCCTTGAATTTCGGCTTAGGCTTCGATTATATTTTCGAACAAGGTTTCGGAAATGTATTACCATCATGAAAGATATATTTTCATTGGCTGGTATTTATAACGTGACTTGCGATTGGTTGTACCGTATCGGTAAATTGAGCTTAGATATTATATTTTTTTGTTTTATAAATACTTACACAAGATATATGCATGTGTGTATTCATGTACATGTTACAGGCCATGACTATAGTGATATATAACGTCATTGTATCCCTCTCTCACTCTCATGTATTTATTCATGTACAAATATACATGCACATGCACATATATTTATGCGGAAATACACACTCACGCGCACCGCCGCTGTACTGACCTAAGCCACGCCCACTGCCCTCATGACCTCCGGCCGTAACCTTGACCCGTACAATCACTCTTCCTCGAGTCATACTCCCGCTCAGACTCGTCCTTCTCCCGAGGGTCACCCTCCAGGGCCCCCACCTTGCCCGGCCAACTCGCTGCCAGGGTCTCTACTTCTGCACAAGCCGGCTACGCTACCGACAGCCTTAACCACCAATAAAGGCAACTACCGGACCGTGCGTTTAACCAACACAACCCTGGCAAATTGGTGGATAGCAGTGACAACAAGTAGCTCACAGAGAGAGAGGGAGAGGGAGAGGGAGAGAGAGAGAGAGAGAGAGAGAGAGAGAGAAAGAAAGAGAGAAAGAGTAAAATGTTTACATATTAACAATACTATCAAAGGTTATAATTAATGTTTAAGGTGCAGTCGTGATGACCCATGTTACTATAAATATTTTTTTAGATAATTTGGTTCTGTATATGGCAGTGAATATATGTTGCGTAAATGTAACGGCATACTATTATTTATAGCTTTACTCTTTATTTTAAATTTATAATGTAAACACATTTAATATAACATATTTTATGTAAGAAAGAAGTATTCAACACCCTAATGTTCTGTGTCCTCAACATATACCTCCCAGTGGGGAGATGATCTTGCACCACCTCCACTGGACACACTGCCTAAAGCCCAGCGTTGTCTGGACCTTGTATCTGAAGAGTGTTGTACGACAGGACTAAAGATCTCTGTGGCCAAATCAAAAGCCATGGCTCTGAGGCACAATGTTCAAGGCACAAGTCTGAAAATCCGGGGAAATTGACTTGGCGTGGGTCCAGGACTTCCAATCCTTGGGGTAAGGACTGACCGGATCCTCTCCTTGCACAAGGACCGAACCAAAACAAGGCTGTCATGAGAACAATGACTGGGAGACACATAGGAGCCAGACACAAAGTACGAAGTGCATTCTATGTACATACCGTCCGGCCCATTGTGGGCTATGCCTCTGTCGCTCTGGTTGCCACCAAGAGAAAATTTAAAGACAAATTGGAGACAGGTCAAAATGAAGCTGACAGAATGAAGTTATTTGCAAAGAGCTAAGCCATGGCTGTCTCACACAGCCAGGGTGTTGATAAGCTATCGGCTCAAAGAACAGCTACAGCATGGACTCCCGCCAACCCGACGTTACCGACTTTATCGAAGCCCCGCCGTGGGCACAGAACTTGATAGAGTTCTCTGTCATCAGCCTGTCAAGGAGAAAGAATCAGTACCCCATATCTAGTCTATAGACAGAAGCCGAGAGGGTCATTGCAGCCATAACCTCTCCGGGTAGTAGAACATACTTCACGGATTTATATATAACAAGGACTACTCCCTCCAAGAAAAAAAATGGTATTTTAGTGCAATGCAAGGGACATATTCTGAGAAGTCTAGTAGTCTAGTCAGATATTCAGGAACACTCCACCATTTACCATGAAATATTCACTCTAATAGTTAATGAACACAAAGCAAATTAAATGTGCTAGAGAACAAAGATCATAAAGCACTACAAAAAAGTGTAATAGTGCAAAAGGTTATATGATGTTTTTGCTACAAATTGAAAGTCGAAAGCCATACAGCAGCTTAGAATAGTATAGTTAAGAAAGTGAGGGTAGAGAGGGTGAGTAAATGTAGGAATTAGCGAAGGACAATTAGATAAGTTGTCAGGGAAAAGGTTTGGGATTCTGCAATGATGAATGTTGGCAAGACATTGAAAATATCTAAACTGGATGACATTTGCATGAGACGTATCTTGAATCTGATTGCAAATATCCTTTCCTATTTCTCTTTCTCTCTCTCTTTCTTCCTTTTTCTCTCTCTTTCTCTCTTTCTCATTCTCTTTTTCTCTTCCTCTTTCTCTTTATCTCTCTATCTTTCTCTTTTTCTCTCACTTTCTCTTTTTCTCTTTCTCTTTTTCTCTCTCTTTCTCTTTTTCTCTCTCTCTTTCTCTTTTTTCTCTTTCTATTTCTCTTTTTTTTCTCTCTCTCTTTCTCTTTTTTCTCTCTATCTTTCTCTGTTTTTCTCTTTCTCTTTCTCTTTCTCTTTTTTTCCCTCTCTCTCTTTCTTTTTTTCTCTCTCTTTCTCTTTTTTTTTCTCTGTATCAAGTCACAGATTGCATTGCGTAACCAGCTTGGAGAAGAGAGCGGATTCATGCCTTATTTGGTAGCCACGAACAGGGTCTTCTTGCAGCTTGCCCAGACAGGACCATCTACACTTAATGCATTGCGCATGAGTAAGAAAGGTTCTGGAGTCTCATGTGGATTGTTGTTGTTGTTGTTGTTGTTTTTTTTTTATAGAATCAGCTATGTAAAAATATTGCCGTAGACTTATGATTTAGGGTGTCATAGCTCAGTGGTAGAGCGCTGGCTTTGCAATCGCATGGTCCCGGGTTCGCGCCCGGCTGCCACCCCTCTCAGTCGCCTCAGCTGTGAATGAGTACTGATATGCTGACATCAGCATGTCGGGGTCAAAGTCGGGGCGGAAAGGAACTGGCCATCCTACCGCATCATCCCGCGGCCTAGTAAGCATGTTTCTCTACGAACATGTCCCTTACGTTCGCATGGGACAATAAAAAAAGAC